ATATATATATATATATATATATATATATATATATATATATATATATATATATATATATATATATATATATATATATATATATATATATAAGTAAGTAATAGAAAAAATAATACTCCCTCCGTTTCAATTTATGTGAACCCATTTGACTGGGCATGGAGTTTAAGAAAAGAGAGAAGACTTTTGAACTTGTGGTGTAAAATGAAGCACATATATTTTGTGTGGCTATAAATCATTGCATAAAGGTAAATTGTTTCCAAATAGGGAAAACGGTCATTCTTTTTGGCACGGACTAAAAAGGAAATAGGTTCACATAAATTGAAACGGAGGGAGTAATAATAATAATAATAATAATATCTAAAGTTATAAGCCCCACCTGTGGGAATATACTGGTTTGATGTTGTTGTTGTTGTTGTTGTTTGATAAGTTAAAGTTCTCTATATTACTCGCATATGAATCTTTGATAAGGTCAAAATACCCCTAGAATAGCAGTAGGTTGAAAATTAACGTACTAACAAGACTAAAACCTATTCCCAACTAGTAGATATCATCTAAATGGATCTTTTTCGTCCATTGTACCTTATCTTTAGCTAAGTCTACATTGATTAAGAGAAATTGTAGATATATTGAGACAACTCCTTCCTTGTGACTTTAGATTTATCTAGTTTCCTTTTAACACCTTCACTCAATAGTTTCACACCTACGAGCCAAGGTCGACGCATGACATGACCAATCCATCCCAAGGGGAAGTCTCCATTCCATTGATATCTAATAACTGATGAACCGAAATGCTGAAATAGTTTTTCACCTTATAACAATTAGATAGTACAACACCACATGCCAATTTTCTGTTCATCTTTGTGATTGTTTTACTTAGTCGAATTGTGAAGCATGCAATAACCAGTGTTACTAATAGCAGTTTGGCCAAGCCTTTGCAAAGCCAAAAGCATTTATTTTTTGTTGCCAAAAAAGCACTTGTTTGGAGACTTGAGGTGTTTGGCCAACAAGAAAAACTATTTTTAGGTAGCAGCGGAAATAATCTCTTTGCTTTGAGAAAGAAGCTACAAATTTTTGCTTCTTAAGCATAAGTAGAAAATTAATTTTTTTAAGATAAAATATCCTTGTAAAAAATTTGTATTTACCAAACTATCCCTTATCACATTAACCCATCTATCTCTAAAATATAAATACAACCATCTTCTCCTTTTTTTTTTTTTGGTTTTACTATATTTATATTGATTCAAAACTTAAATATATATTTTAATTATATAAAATAAAGATTTAATTGACGTCTTTCATAATAATATTTAAATCATTTTTCTTATTAAATAATATTAGCTGTAAAATGAATCTTGATACTTACCTTTGTAATTTGACACTCAAAAGCATTATTAGGAAAGATTGGTCAAACACAATATGTTTATCAAATACTCCCTCTGTTCCAATTTATGTGAACCTGTTTGACTGGGCACGAAGTTTAATAAAAAATGAAGACTTTTGGAATTTCTGGTCCCAAACAACTCAAAAAGGGGTCCACAATATTTGTGTGGTTATAAAAGTTTCTCACTAAGGGTAGAATTGGGAATTTAAGCTAAATTGTTTTCAAAGAAACTGTCATCCCAGCCAATCCAATTGGGATGCCCTGGACCTGACATGTCACTTGGAAAGAGTAACAATTTAGAAAGGGTTCATTCTTTTTGGAACGGGCCAAAAAGGCAATAGGCTCACATAAACTGGAACGGAGGGAGTATTGAACAAAGTACTTCTCGAATAAATTGGCCAAACACAAGTTGTTACTTTGCAACAATATTTCTCATATTTTGACAAAAGTGCTTCTCAAAGTAAACAATTTCTAGGAGTTTGACCAAACAGGCTCTAAAAGCCATGACGTTAAGCGCTTTATCACTTAGCGCAATGAAGCTATGCGAAGCCAAGGCTTATTGATTAAAGCGATGAAGTGATAAATGGTATATTAAGAGTTATGTTGCCTTTTCAATATCTCAACTTTGATGGATTTTCAACGTCAGTTCTCTGGTATCATTTCTTGGGTGAAGCTGCAGGTAGGGTTTGCTATTCACCATTGTCAAAAAATGAAACAAGATAAACTGAAACCTTGTTGCTGCCTTTGCAAAGTTTTCTCTTCACAACCCCCCCCCCCCCTTTTCCCCCCCAAATGTTGCCTTTCAACATTGACTAGTTCTCTTTTAGTTAAATTTTATTTAAATTCTGAAGCCGTATGAATGTCCAGATTGGACCCGACATACTTGTTAGTGGGTTTCTTCAGCCAGTTCCTGATCTGACACCTACTATTCCATCGGTAGAAGAAACTTCGGCCATTGATCCTACCATTTCTCCTTATGAATCAAGCATCATATTCTTTTACAAGACATGGGATCCATATGGTGGCTTCTCAAACTTCTCTCTCCATCCATTTCAAATGCCTAATGAAAATGGAGAACTTGTCACCTGGTCCAGTGTAGAGCATTATTACCAGGTCATTTTCTTGGAAAACATAAAGATAAGACTTTATTATTTGCAGCACCTTTCAGACATTTGATAACTAGTTCTTTAATTGCAGGCACAAAAGTTTGTTGGGGCATCTGATCCGGTAGCTAAAAGCTGCATGGAAGAAATACAATGTGCAAAGAGCCCTGAGGAAGCAGCACGAATAGGAAGGAGAATACAGAGGCAGCAACCTAATCTGGTATTCTTTACATTCTTCTTACAACATATTCCTATAGCTTCTCCATATACTATCATTTTCCCAGTAATTCTTTCTTTCTAGGCTGCTTTATTCATGTGTTCCAGAAAGCATAAGCATGCCACTTCAAACTAGGTGGAACAACATGATCAATTGTATTGTAAATACTTGACCAAAAAATTGGGTGAGGTCAGAAGCTACCTACCCCCTATTAGATAGTATCTCCAGAGTGGCTTACTTAGCCAACATAAATAAATTTAAACCCAACAGAAAGTGTTTTGTTTGTAATTACGACGTAAAGCTAATTCATTCAAACGATGAAGTTTTATAAAATAAAATAAAAGGAGTTTTGGAAAGATCGCTGGCAGACAGCAGATCCCCAGTAGTACTGTTGTACTATCCACAATATCAGGGTCTAGGACGCAGTAGGTCAGATTCCGGAGAAAGATGCTTCAAAAAATAGTGACGCTGATATGTGGTGGTAGTACTATGCTAAGTTGCGTGGACTCTTCGTGTTTGCTGCCGCACCCGTCTCGACACGGGAGCGGGATACATCCCGGATTCGGTCAACTAACTTCAGATCTGAGTCCATCGACAAATTTGGGGGAAAATTGAGATTTTGATTTCTCAAAATTAAAAATAACACAGATTTTAGACATGGGAAATGGCATACCTTCAATATTGTAGTACTTCTCATATTTGCTGCTTTGTGTTTCGGAAAAATCAAGAATTCAAGGGGTCGTGTTCTGAGTTTGGACTTATGGTAGACAGTAGCAGCGATATAGATGGAGAGTTGGTGGAAGGCCTTGAACGGCTTTCTTTTTCTCTTATAGCTCTATTTTTTATTATTTTGAATTTTTTTAGCCGAATCCCCGCACCCGTACCCATACCTGGATCCGCACCCCCCGAATCTTAAAATTTAAATTTTGCCGAATCCGATACTCGGATCCGTGCCTGTATCGGATGCCCGTACCCCGAGTCCGTGCAACTTAGGTACTATGCAGAGGACAATTTGGAACTTGGAAGTTTTGCCAGTGTGCAACGAAGAGTTGTAGTTCAGTAGCAAGCATTACATTGGGATTCCACGCTTTAAAGATTTTAAAGAGTTTTCTTTCTAAATCCCTTTTCTATTTCAAGCATGTTTAAGAAATTGGGACATGGCTGATCCATCTTAATCTAATCCTTCTGATGTAAGCAAGAAATACTTGGTATTTACGATTTAGGCTATTGGTTTGCACCATACTCGTTTTTGCTTCATCCCAATGGGACCTTTTATCCCTGTATTAATGGTCCGTAGTGTATAATGCAGTTAAGCTCTAACTTCTATTCATTCCCCTCTTTTCTTCCTGTGTATTCCAGGTAAGACCAGACTGGGAATCTGTCAAGATTGATGCCATGTATAAGGCCTTAAAATGCAAGTTCACGACATACCCCTATTTAAACTCTTTGTTGCTCTCAACTGCGGGCTCTGTTCTTGTGGAGGGTTCACCACATGATCTCTTCTGGGGAGGAGGTCGAGATGGAGAAGGCCTAAACTATCTTGGAAGGTTGCTGATGAAGTTGAGATCAGAGTTCCTAGGTGACTCTTCAACAAGTCAAAATTCTTTGTTTCATCAAACATCAGAAAATAAATAGTTGTGAAATTTCCATCCTAACAATGTTAGGCTAATGTTGAGAAAACTGATCCTTCTGATCATCACTTATTTATGTACTTCTTATGTATCCTTATTGTTCCATTGTTGCACATAGAGAAAGCTCCTACTGTTGGTCCTATTCGTGTGTAATAAATCCTATTTTGGTTCTCGTGGAATATTAGCTAATTTTTACTGAATAATGACTCTCTAAAAATCTAATGACGGGTAATTTTGACCTTAAACAGCCGCATAGTACCAAATAAAATGAAATGGATAAAGATAGGGGTAAAAAGGTGAAACTTTAATACGTGCTACACAACGTTTTTGGCAATTATATCTTTTCTCACTTGTAAGTTGTACCTAATAAATAAATCTTCTATATATATATTAAAGCAAGAAAGTTACCATATATAATTGACATTATGGTTAAGCCAAGTGGCAAGCTAATAAATGTCAATAGTATATGGTAACTTTATTCTATATTTGACTGTTTTAGTTAAATACAAATATAATATAATATAATATATTATACATATACATATACATGTACATATACATATACA